GAGCAAGCTATGATTTGGAGACACTTTCTGTATGAGACATTGTATTCCCTGAGTGTATATTATGATGAGGTTTCCTTCAGGGAACATTCTTATATTTACGATCACTTGTCTTTCTCACATGTGTGGTTGTACTTTGATGTATGATGAGTTTGTGTGGACAATGTGTGAAAAACCTTTTATGTATCTTGGGTATTGTGAATATGATTTTAAGTAAAACTATCTACTCCTCGGTATACTTGTGCGACCTGCCTACGGCAGCTGATAAGGCAGAGCATAAGGGGAGGAAGCACAGTCCGTCTGTGAAAGTTATATAAGTTGTGATGAGGACTCATAAGATGGTCTCTCAGTGATGTTCTGTTTTATGATGGGACCCCCTTAGATTTTGGAAAATGGGGGATGTTTTATGATGTTTTGTGATGTAACGGAACCCTTCGTGACTTTGAGAAGAGGGGGTGTTTGGTTTATGATGAGACCCTCGTGATTTCTGGAAGAGGGAATGTATTGTTTTATGGCGAGACCCCTCGCGATTTTTGGAAAAATGGGTGTTTTGTTTATGAAGAGAGTCCCTTTTGGATTGTTGAAAAAGAGGAGTGTTTTTTTGGTTGGAAGACTCATCCTCAGAAGTGAGGAAATTGATTTATGGCATGACGAGTTGTTTGATGGGTGATAAAGTCTGACGGAAAGGGCCACGTTTTGTTTGAAATGTTTGAGAAAGTCGCAATGAGTACAGGGCGAGAGATGTCTCAGGGTGGGTGGCTGCTAGCTCTGATCAAGTCAAGGGTCACGGCCTAGTGGATTTAGCGGTGATTTTGCTTGTAAGCGTACGAAGGATGCCATGCCTATTGAAGTAGGGATGGTAAATGCCTTCGGACCCCTGCGTATCGCGCAGTGGGCCTGTGATTTTGTTTTGCGACGCCCCGTCTAACCACCTGTGCTAGTTCTGAGACATATTGAATGGAGGCCAAGCTAACGGAAAAGAAGTTAGTACCTCTAGGGCGTAACCCCATTGGATGGCTGCTAGCCGGCGCAACCTGGCTGCGGGACCGCGGGGTAAGAGTTTAAGGGGGGTTGCCTGCCCCAGTGAAGTTACTCCGCGGGATAATGATGGTTGAAAATTTTTGGGGAAAATCCTGATTGAGTGCCTATCAGGAGAAACTCTATCGTTGTGTAACCAACGAGGGTATTGCCGTTAAATAACAATGCGGTAGGCCGTAGTCCTGGTCCGATCAACCAGGCTATGGTGGTCCAAGATGGAGACCTGACCTTTCTGTACTAGACTGCAAAAATAGCGGAGTGAATATTAAGTTTACATATATACTTATATGTATTTGATTGCGAGAGATTTTGAGAAGGAAGGTGAGAGTGTCTTCAAAGGTCTCGGTTAAAGCCCGCGTCCCTAGTTTTTGCCAGGACTAGGGACACCCAACGAGAAGCCGAAGGTTGTCTAGGACCGGGGAGAGGACGATTGAGAAGGTCTTTAGAACTTATGTTGCCAGTGTCCTAATTTCTGGACGGTGTGAGGCCCAGGTTAGAAACCTGGTAGCATATGGTTATGAAGGCATAGTTTGATGGAGGCCTCTACCCTGTGTTTGTCGGCTAATCGGATTGGCTCCTGTTTCGTCAGCATTTGAAATGTGGATGGATTTACAACTTTCTGATTTGGCGAAGCGACGGGGACGTCGCTTAATATGGTCCGGTACGCTGTCGGTGCGAATACCCTTACAAGGGTATCCGCCCTGGTTTTTGCAAGTGACAGAAAATAGTTTGGTCTAGAGTCTAAGTATACCGCGCTAAGCGCGGCTGCGTCAGTAATTGCTTTGACAGGGTGGTTGACCGCAATAGTGAGTGCGTGAGCGCGCATGTTTAAGGCGCGCGTGATTCTTTTCTGTTATTTTATCATAAAGCCGACAGCGGACATCGGTCGTTGGTTAATAATACTATTAATATTTATTTTTATTTTTGATCAAGCAGGGTTTTGAGATATTTTCTGTTGATTGGTATGTCTGACCGAGGCGAGCGCGTGTGCGAGGGCGACGGCATCGACAGTGATGGATACGGCCAAATAGGGGTAGTCGCGCCACGGCCGGTGGGCCGGCGCGAGTTTTTTCTTTTCTTTTTCTTTTTTTTCGTCGGCCATGCCTACAGGCGCGGGCCGAGACGCGGCCCAAGGCGGTTCCTTGGCCCTAAAAGTCAGGGACTACCTCTTTATTAGGAGGTATGTGCTTGTTGGTGCCAGGCTTGGGCTTAGCCCTATAGGTTACGACATTGGACTGACACTGCGACGGTACGGGGATCGAGGCCGGCGGGCATCAGCGCGGGAGCAGCGGAGAGACGCGGAGGAAGCCGAGGGGTCGAGGGCCCGGTAGGGCTATCCCCCTCTGTTCGGCTCGCTGTCCCCAGGTAAATACTGGGTTTATTTTTTTTTCTTATTTTTCCCTTGTCGGTTTCTCTTTATCGCATCCCGTTCGGGGACGTGAGACGGCGGCAGGGTCGCGTGGAGTGTGTTGTATTGGCGGGGTGCCTGAAGTGCAATTGCAAACTGGTTTTGAAACTACGCTGGAGCCGCGCCCGACGTTGTTTTACTTAAAACGTGGTGCCGTGGGTGTAGCAGGCACCCAAGAGCCTAGCTCAGTGAGTACGCCCCTGAACTGCTGAAGCGCAGACCAAGGCGAATCCGGTACGAATCCGGGCCGGGTACGTGTACGGGATGCCGAAGAAAAAAAAAAAAAAAAAAAGGGAGACACCCGTTGGGAGAGCTGCGGGGCATTGCCCCGGCTGGGTCCTCGGGGCATTCTGGTGGAGGCTCGCAGCGATACTGACGTGCAAATCATTCGTCAAACTTTGGGTATAGGGGCAAAAACTAATTGAACCGTCTAAATACCTGGTTCCATCCGAAGGGCCCTCAGGCCGGATGGCTGTCGGGCGGGCGCTGGCCGGTGCAAAGTCCTTCGGGACATCCGTTAAAATTGGAACGATACAGAGAAGATTAGCATGGCCCCTGCGCAAGGCTGGCGCCCATAAGTCCCAGAACGAAGGCCAGGTGCGTGTACTAAGACAAGGCTGCATTGTGGTCGGACAGATCATGAGAAGT